CGGATTCCAAAGGATCTCCTGTATGGAGAATTAGTGCAGGGAAACCACCCCAGAGGGAGACCACAGCTGTGATACAAGGATATCTGCAAGCGGGATCTGAAGGCCTTAGGAATGGACCTCAACAGATGGGAAACCTTGACGTCTGAGCGTTCAGCCTGGAGGCAGGTGGTACATCATGGCCTCTCCTAATTTGAAGAGACACTTGTACAGCAGGCCGAGGCAAAGAGGCAGTCCCGAAACAAGCAAAACCAGGGAGCTGGACAGGGGACAGATTGTATTTGTCTTCAATGTAGAAGAGATTGTCACTCTCGAATTGGCCTTCTCAGCCACACTAGATGCTGTTCCAAGACCTCCATACAGAGCATGTTACCATAGTCTCTCGAGACTGAAGGATGCCTACTGTGCATAAGACTGCAACCTTAGCATTTTGGCTCTGCCCATCTTTCTCTTGGCAAGTGGGGCAGGGAGTCCAGGTTTGAAATTCAAGTGCCAGCCACTCTCTAAGACTGATACAGAAGCTGCAATCCATCAACATCTAAAAGGTTATACTTCACCAAGTTCTTGCCTCAGGCAGTTACACGCACCCTCAAAAGGATTGCTGTGAAAAATATATGAAATTGCTAAAGCTTCCCATGAGTCCAAACATTTAGCAGAATAGCTGAAACCTGGCGCACAAATTATGCACACAGAGAAACATACTTTAATATGAAACACACATACTTTAACTTGGATTCCTGCCTTGAGCATGGGGTTGGACTTGATGGTTTTATAGGCCCTTCCAGAATGATTTTCTATTATTCTATTTTTTTTAATTCAGAAAGTCCCCCATTCAACCTCATTCCCCCTTATCTTCAGATAACACTGGGAAAGACTCCCTGAACTGGAGAGACATTTGGTATCTGAATAACAGAATAATTTTACATACTGTTTGCCACTAATTATCAGAAACTAGGTTTAGTGGGAGGAAAATGATGACAAACCTACAAGTCTGTTTTTGAAACCACTTGGATACCCTTGCCTGAGCCTGTTGCCGGGCAAGAGAATAAACCAGAACCGCCAGTAAAGAATGAAGTTCCGTTTATTCCAGTTAATAAAGAAAAGTTAACAGCAGAAAAAGCGGTATCGACTCCTTCTTGGGAAGAGCGGGAAGCCCCAAACAATGAACCCTCACAGGAGTCCCCTGGACTGCAAAGAGAACAAACCTATCCATTTTGAAGGAAATCAACCTTGAGTGCTCACTGGAAGGACAGGTCCTGAAGCTGAGGCTCCAATACTTTGGCCATCTCATGAGAAGAGAAGACTCCCTGTAAAAGACCCTGATGTTGGGAAAGTGTGAAGGCAAGAGGAGAAGGGGACGACAGAGGATGAGATGGTTGGACAGTGTCATCGAAGCTACCAGCATGAATTTGACCCAACTCTGGGAGGCAGTGGAAGACAGGAGAGCCTGGCATGCTCTGGTCCATGGGGTCACGAAGAGTTCGACATGACTTAACAACTAAACAATAACAAGATTTAGTTCCAGTGGTGGATCTCTAGGTACAGTGCAGTGGATTAGTCACCATCAGAGAGCATGACCACTCTCAAAATGGCTGCTTGGGTGGGTGTGGCCCATCACAGAACATCAATTTCAGGGAAGAGAGACTGGGAGCAGGTAGGATTGTTGTATCTCAGAGGATGAAGCTGAAGTTGTAGGAAACTATTCTGCTTCTCAAAGTCTCCAGGTGCATAGGGAAACCTCTGAGCAAGGGATTCTAGCACAGGATAAATTCGATTGATTTCATTTTGTCTGGTGGCTTTAATGTCTGGGTATCCAACTCCTTCCCACTTCCAACTGGCAGCAGGGCTTCCTAACTCAGCACAAAGCATTTGTTTATGTGTGCTCATGTGTAATGGCCAAAATCCTATTGGCAATATACACACGCATACATTGAATTACATAAGCCACGGTAGCAAATTGCTGCTACTTAACAAGATGCCAGCCATGTTTGTTTGTTTGTTTGTTTATTTTATATCCCGCCTATCTAGTCGGTTAAGACCACATCCTAGCCACATCTCCATTGTGCAGCTGGTTGTGTGGCTGGGAATACAACCAGCACCTCATTAATTAGTGGCAATTCACAGCCACAACTTTATGCACACATGAATCGCAAATAGGATTCTGGCAGGTTGGGGTGGGTTGTTGTTGTTTTTAGAAGATAGTGGGGACAACCGACTTTGTTGCACTTTTTTGCACAAGGTCCTGATTTCAAGATTTGGCCCTGGAATTGCACAGAACAAGAAGCTGCTGACCTGGTAAATCTAGAGGCAAGTAACTGCCCAAGAAGCAGAATATGAAGCAGATACGGCCTAAGAATTTACTGTATTCTTTTTCCCAGGCTTTCATTGCTTTATTACATCTTATATGTCTTTGATTAAGTGTAAAACTTCTCTTGGGCCTGGAAGAGAGACTTCTTGTGGCCATTACTGAGGCACATTGTGGTGGGAAGCAGGCAAACAGTGCTGCATACAACAACCTTGTTTTCCCACACAAAGATCTTTCTTTGTACTCTACCGAGAGGGGAATGAAGTGAAGGCTATAGAGCAGCCTCACAGCTCTAAAAATGTTAACGCTTACAAATTTTCACACTTGAGGTTCATTTTAGGTTAATGTGGTTTGGTGAGAAAGACTTGATTCTGTTGCAGAAAAGAAAGCAGAGGGGTATATTCTTCATGAGAACTGTTTTAATTCCATACGCACACTTCCTTCATGTAAAAATATATATCCTTCCTACTTCCTATGATGGTCTAGGAAGAAAGTCTAAGTTGCCTTGGCGTTTTCATTACCAACAAGGATCCTTCTGCAGAGTTTGGAAAAATTACTTATTTGGACTACAACATATAACACGGTCACAGGGAGTTCTAGTATTAAAAGAGTGATTTTTCTACTCCACTCTTTAGTGAGAAAAAAAATATCAATTTTTGTCATTATGCCCACAGTCACCAACATCTTGCTGATTTCTTCAACTGATAGTTTTTGTTATGTTTTTGGTCAAGCTGCACTAAGAAGGCTGCTTGGTATTTCATCACGTTTGTACTTTGTTAAGGTCTTCCTCAGCGTCATGCTTTTGGCCCAGTGCATCTGTTTTGTACTGGACACCACATATGTGTAAAACTGGTACTTGTAATGAAAAGCTCTTACTCAATCCCCATTGATTCAATGGGCCTACTCTATTTACTACACTAAGCCCCGGGATTTTGGTCACTACTGTCAACCCAGGCTTCCTTTGAAGGTATGACTGCCCATCCATGCATCATGAAGAAGACAACACTGACAGAATTAAAACACTGTCACGAGAGGAAATATAATTTTCTTTGCGCATCTGTTCTCAGCCGAAGTCTTTGATACAGGACTTCTCAGGCTTTGGTTTTGAACACCAGGAAGCTCCATTCAGCACAACCCATGGTGAGAGACTGTGGGAGTTGGCCATGCAAAACATCCAGCAGCCCAAAGAGACCTCTTCTTTAAGGTCTCATGAGACGTAAGTCAAGATATAGGCAAGGATAAAACAACAGAAAGAAAGATGCTGACTAATACTGTACTAAGTATCTTCTTTAAGGGAATCCAGGTTGGTCCTCTCAGATTGCACAGCACCCACTAGAGCCGAATCAGATCTGGAGCTGGCACGGGGGGGAGCTCTTGGCATACTTCCACAGGAGTGGAGTCTTTGCATCCAATTAAAGCCTGTTCATAATTATAATCTTAGAACGGCAGAGCTGGAAGGGACTCTATGGATTACTGATTCCATCCCCTGTCAAGGAGGCACAATGGGGAATCGAAGCCAGATACCTAAACCACAGCAGGCAATTTCCTATCTTGCATTTCTTTCTCATGAGCTCAAGGCATTACATGTGGCTCTTCTCTACTTTTATCCTCATAACAACCCTGTGAGGCAGGTCGAGCTAAAGCAAAGCAAAGCAAAGCATGCTGCTTATATACCGCCCCATAGCGCTTCAAGCACTCTCTGGGCGGTTTACAAGTCAATTATGCAGGCTACACATTGCCCCCCCCCCCCAGCGAGCTGGGGACTCATTTTACCGACCTCGGAAGGATAGAAGGCTGAGTCAACCTTGAGCCGGCTACCTGGGATTTGAACCCCAGGTCGTGAGCACAGTTTTGGCTGAAGTACAGTGGTTTAACCACTGTGCCACGAGGCTCAGTGGTGAGAGTGACTGGCCTTCTGTCACCCACTGAGTTTACGGCTGAGTTGGAACTCTGACCTCACTCTCGTAGGTCCCCATCTAACATTGTTAGATATACAGTATTATGCCACAGGACTCTTCAGGGACTTATTTCTCAAACAAGTAAGTAAAGGGCTTACATTCTGAAGTCCAGTTGCCCCAAGGGTTTGGCAGCAGAAAACTTGGATGATGCTGTGTAACCATGGTTCCCAAACTTGGGTAACCCAGGTGTCCTTAGACTGCAGTTCCCAGAAGCCTTCACCACCAGCTGTGCTGGCCGGGGTTTCTGGGAATTGCAGTCCAAGAACACCTGGGTTACCCAAAGTTGGGAACCACTGCTGTATAATAACCCAGAGCCAGAGAGGTTTTGACAGGGAAGCTGGGTTTGGCTTCTGCTGATGCCACCTGGGTTGTTCCTCTCTCTGATCAGCTGCCCAGTGTTCACACCCTGATCACAGTGCCTTCAGAAAAGCCACATTCCCTTTCCAAGAGAGAGGGCAAAGTGCCAGACAGGTCCAGGCCCATCCCACGCCAGCCACAGCAGGAGAGGCGTGGTCATGCTAGGGCTTCAACTTCCTCTTACCATTTTATGCTCTTCGGTTCCAAGCCTGTATCGGTCCCTCTCCTGTAAGCAGAAGGATGAATCGTTGTGCAGAAAATGTGAAAGGCTTCCTAGCCCAAGTGGAGATTAAAGCAGGAGCTGCGAAGGCACAGCTGGCTGAGGAGTTCCAGGTGAGTCCACCTGTTCATCAGGTAAAAGAGAGGGTGGGCTCAAGGTAGCACTAGTCCTGATTCTTTCCTCGTCGGTATCGGTCAGAACCTCTTTTTCCTTGTTGGCCACAACCAGGGATTCTTCCTACCGCCAGGGATTCTGGGCCAGTGCTGCAAAAAACCCTCCTCACTTTTTGCCTCCCTCTCTGCCAAGCCTCCTGCAATTATGCTGGCGCCATTATAGGCAGAAATTCAACAGGTGCATCTCAATGCCACAAAACAGCTATGCATGTTAAATTTCCATTTGCTCTGCATTTGTACAAATGTGGGAGACCGGTCAAGGAAGGAGGGGGAGGAGAAACAGAGGCATTAACATACCTGATTAGTATCTCTGAACATCTCATATAATAATGCTTTGGCTTGTGTTTTGCCATGTGTCGGCAGGAGCCAGTCAAGTCGCTAACATGCCCTGCAGTGAAACTTACTGTTGCATCTCATCATTTTTGCTTTGCCTCCATTCTGGTCCAATGCTGCTACTCAGCTAGGACTCCTAGATTTGTGAGGAAAAAAATGAGGGTGGCCATTTGAAAAAGAGGACTCAGGACCAAAGCTTTGATAGCTTTATAAAAGAGGTGATCTGAGCAGTCATTCTGTTTCCATATGTCTGACAAAGTGAAGGTGTCCACGAAAACCTAATACAGTATTAAATATAATAGCCTTTAATGTGCCACATTTTTTCTTGTTTTGTTTTGTTTCTTGGGATTTGAACAGGTGTATCTTGTCTTGGAAGCTACACTTATTGAAAATAAAATTGTTTTGCACAGCTGCTGTAAGTGGAAGCCCCTGGGCTCTTTTTCTTGCGGTCCCCCTGGGCAGAAAAGAGATAAGTTTAACATACTGTATTGTACTTGCTAGAAAGCCACAGGACATGTGGTCAAGGTCTTAGCAGCTGTAATGCACTTCCCCTATGTCGCTTCAATGGTGATGATGATGACGATGATGATAACGATAACAACAACAACAACAACTGTGGGCCATCAAGTCAGTTTTTACTTAAGGTGACCCTTTCCAAGTTTTCCAGGTAGATAATAGAAGTGGTTTGCTATTCCATTCTTCTGGGGGCACCCTGAGATTATGCAGCTTGCCCAAGGCCACGCCGGCTGGCTTTTCTCCCTGGAGGCATAGTGAGGAATCCTATCCCCAACTTCTGGCTCCTATTCCCTACCCTTGGCCATCGGCCATGCTGTCTGCAGCCAGCAGGAACTCACGAGCTCTCCCTGAATTCCATTTAATCCAATTCTGGAGTCATAATACAAGGGATGGACCTGTTGAAGCAAATGGAGGGTACTAGATGGCCTGTGCCAGCCTTATAAGGTTCTTGTAAGAATAAAGAAAAATAAAATACTTTTGATACGCTTAAAAACATTGTACAGCATATAGATGCAAATTGTTTTGTTGTTAGTTCTATCCTCTGGACGTTTTGGGGCCCTATGGATCATCAAGTCCTGTCAAGGAGGCACAGTGGGGAGTTGAACTCCCAACCTCTCGCTCCACAGCTAGATATTTAAACCACTGAGATATCCAGCAGATGATTCATCTCATGTGCACATAAACACCTAGTAGGATTTGGGCAGTAAATAACTCTTCCACCCCCACCCACCCCCAAGCTGTACATCACGGGTTGAACGACGACATTTGCCTCTTTGTCAACAGGATCCACTCCTTGAATCACAGTACTCTTTTTGGATTACTAGGATGTCTGGGGATTCTACAGGTGATAGTGTTTTTCACCTTTCCAAACAATAGTTCTGTCAGGTGGGTCAGGCTGACAGAGACAAAACGTGACTGGTCACTTAGTAAACTTTGTAGTTTGAAACACCAGTGTATCAGGAATTCTGATTTCAAGAGCCAGCAATTGTAAATGAAAGAGGCTGATGATTTAAATAGAAAAAGAAAGTGGGAGGTTGTGGGCACAAGGGGAAAACTTCCAATTTTTTAAAGCTATGGAATCCAGATTCCTTCAAGCTGCAATTAACCCCATCGATCCAGCTATAGCCATTAAGCTCCATTTCCCACCCAGATTCCTACACTAACCATTGATGATCTCTTGCATGTTGAAGCAGGCACACATGCCTAATGACACTGTTTACTCTCATTATCGCCAGCAGAATAGCTCTGAGTTGTTGTATAACTCACTTCATTTCCTCTTATACACCACTTAAATTGTAACACAGGCAGAGAGAGATTGATAGAGAGTGCAGCCAATTGGTCAGGAAGTTTGTCCAAGAATTTAAACATGTCTGCCATGACAAGACTGCAGTGCAGGAACTGAGAGTTTGGTTTTGCTCGGCATGTTGTCCTATCTTGCATTGACTGTTCAGTAATGGTCCTCAGCGGGGCATATTAAAAACAAACACAGTTCAAGGAAAGATTTCTAAAATAGGGTTGATGACTCAAGCTTGCCCTGCAAGGAAGATACTGTATATTGTTTTCCTTGTAAGTATTTCCCATTATTGTTTTATGAATTCCACCAAATCATGCCCTAATCATTGGAAAACACATACACAAAAGAACTGGAGTTGCCTTAGCTTTTGGTTGCAGCCCTTTGAAACTGGGAATGTTTACCTGTGCACACATCTCCCTATGTAAAGGAATCATGCTGATGCGTCTTGCTAAGAAAACAAGAAAGCTTGTGTTTTTCTAGAGAAATGCACTTGGGATAGGAGAGGTGGTACAAGGCCTAGTTCTAGCGAATAAAAAGTTGGAGATGTCAAGGGCCATAGTTGCCGCTATCATCTCTAGAGAACAAAGGCAAGATGTCCCCTCTCCAATGGGGGGCACCAGCAATCCTAAGACACAGGTCAGCATATTCAAAGGAGGTAAAGGACCATCTAGGAAAGCAGAGGAGGTCCTCTCTCTCAACTTTTACATAAGCGAGGGCATGCATCTTCAGTACAAGCTGAGCTGAACACTTTCAAGGGATGACTTCTGTAGACGGAAACCAGGAGATTCTAAATTCTGGCAGGCTGCACCCATGATATAGAAGGTGAGGCAATATTAGGCAATAAACAGACAAATAGGGTCAAACTGTACATTACAGGTAGCATACCATTTGAACAATGAATTGCTTAAGTAGTGAAAGTTGTGTGATTATCATGCTGTGAGATTTCTGTTCATCCTATAGTTACAAATCAGCTTTCTTTCCTTTCTGGATGGTCACCAGGTGCTAAATACCAGGCTTCATATGCAAGTAGTGTATATAATTGCTGAAACACTAAGGTCTGTCAGAATCACACTTTTGGAACACTAATGTTTCAGCTGCTACTAATGTCCTTAACTTGGACAAGACAGTTTCCTGTGTATGTTCCATGAGAGGCCAGTGTTCGTGAATTCCCCTCTTGGATTCACACCTTAATGTGATGAGGGGGACCGAGTGTGTCAGAGAAGTGGAGTGAAAACGTGTCAGGTGGCTAGACTCCATTATAAGTCTGAACTCCTAGCAGAGTCATCCTAGGCAAAGCTGGATCAGTAGATTAAGATTATTCCACCCTCTGCAGAACTGTCAATCCCATCAGCAGAAGAGAATGGCTATTTCCAGTGGCGATGGGATGGAGAAACTTCTGGAGGGCAGCATCAATGCCATCAGCCAAAGAGAATGGCTATTTCCAGTGGCGACGGGGTGGAGAAACTTCTGGAGGGCAGCTACTAGGCAGCAGTAGTGGAAAGTAACACCGGCAGAGGATCTTTCACAGACAGTGGCACTGACACTCAAGCTACTTCTTTTTAATACTGTGCAAAAGAAGGCAATGGCAAACCACTGAAAATTCTATGATGAGACAATCCAAAATGAAGGGAGCGATAGTGCTAGAGGATGAGACTCCCAAGTACTGTAGATTAAATATGGGAAAGAGAGAAACAGATACAGTTCTGCATAAAATGTTCTGGGCGGGGGTTTTATGTTTAATGGGGGAGAATGTGAGCAAGGGAGATTAGGTAGAGTTCTGTTACAAGAAACAGATGAGAGGTATGACCTGAGTGTAGCTGAGGAAGGCAGTAATGCTGGAAGAATGAAGTTCATAGGACAAGCATATAAAGGGAAATAAGGGCGAGGAAAAAAACAGTACAGTTCCCCAAATTCTCCTAGGAATTTTGGGAGTTGTAGCAAAAAAAAAGTAACTTGTCTGAGCTGAGAAAGAAGAGTGGAATGAGAAAGTGGAGAACTTTGGTGGGGAGATAGTGGAGGGATATGAAAGGTGTGTGTGTGTTATGGTTCAAGTACATAACAGGAGAAGCAAATAGCTTTGCCAGAAGGCTGACATGGTAAACTGTTACACATAGACCAGGATTGGCCTCCAGATGTTGTTCGATTCCAGCTCCCATTATCTCTAGCCAGCATTGCCAGTTTGGTCAAGAAGGATGGGAGCTGCAGTGCTAGAACTTCTGTAGGTCCAAAGGCTTCCAATGCTGACACAGAAAGTTTGGTTGATTTAACATCCCTTAGCAAACAAATGTGATTTTGTGCAATGAGTTAACTACATTTACATTGACACCACCCAAAAATGATCCATACAGACATTTTAAAAAGGTGATTCTGCCTGTAGCAAGGAATACAGAAACAAGGCTGCATGGTTATGTGGCAAACATGTAAATTACAAAGCCAAATTCATGGGCTGTTTTGCCTTCCTGCTGCTTCTCAGCCGTCGTTGAGTAAAACAAGGGAAGTGAAGGCTCAGTCTAAATGCACTCATATGACATTCCCTATTGATGTGATACTATAACAGTACTATATAATATAATGGTATCATTCTTTATATATTAAATAGTATAGCATGAACACAAGCAAGGCCCACCAACCACAACAGATCGTATGGTATGTTATGTTGATTTGGTTTATCTCTTTCTTCCTCTCATGCTTTTTTTAAAAAGAGCCAAGCCCAACACAAATGATATACAGTATTCATTTAGAAAGAAAAAGACATTAGATAAGGAACTTGAACATGCAAATAATGTCATTCTGAAAGAATATACAAGGGTTTACATATAAAAAAGACCTGAGGCAGCTTCTTCTCCTGTGATTCAAGCCCATTTCCTTGAGTGCAGGTGTCCCTCTTGATCTTGGCTACCTAGAGGCAGCTGAAAAGGTATGAGCTCAAAAGCCCTGCCTTGTCTCCAACCATGCAGGAGCTTCAGCTCCACCAGGATACTGATCTATGTGTCTTTGACGAGGGCATAATCAAAGATCTTTTCTCTGAGCAGAGCCTCCTCCTTCAAGTGGCCTCTTCCTCCAAACCAGTTCCCTCCTCGCTGGCCTCCTCTGAGCTCCTGTAATTCTCTGCCCATTGCAGCTCCTCTTCCACCTTTATTCCTGCCAACTGGGCACAGCTCTGCCCCTGCCCCATGGCCCAGGTGCTCCTCATCAACTAGCATCCCCTTCATAGGTCTCAGTGCCCGCCCAAGGCCTGACAGGAGGTGACCTCAACAGACCCTTCAGGGTGCGAGTGGACAACCCGCCAGGGGCACCAGAAGTGACGCTCCACTCACAGAACGCATAACTTTATATAGTTGTTGTTGTTTAGTCGTTTAGTCCTCTTCTCATGAGATGGCCAAAGTATTGGAGACTCAGCTTCAGGATCTGTCCTTCCGGTGAGCACTCAGGTTTGATTTCCTTTAGAATGGACAGGTTTGTTCTCCTTGCAGTCTAGGGCACTGGTTCTTAACCTTGGGTTACTCAGGAGTTTTGGACTGCAACTCCCAGAAGCCTTCACCACCAACTGTGCTGGCTGGGGTTTCTGGGAGTTGCAGTTCAAAAACATCCGAGTAACAAAGGTTAAGAACCACTGGTCTAGGGGACTCTCTAAAGTCCAACACCACAATTCGAAAGCATCAATTCTTTGGCGGTCAGCTTTCTTTATGGTCCAGCTCTCACTTCCGTACATCACTACAGGGAAAACCATAGCTTTGACTATTCGGACTTTTGTTGGCAAGGTGATGTCTCTGCTTTTGAAGATGCTATCAAGGTTTGTCATCGCTTTCCTCCCAAGAAGCAGGCGTCTTTTAATTTTGGGGCTCCTGTCACCATCTGCTGTGATGATGGAGCCCAAGAAAGTGAATTCTGTCACTTTATATAGTACCTCTTCATAAAACCAAAAGTAAAAATTAAGAAACCTATAACTGCCATCGTTGCCATCTGTGTCAGATTAGAATATCACACCAGTGATTGGCATGGAGCTGGGGCTGGTGGGAAATACATCTTGAGAAAAATTTCAAGATATCAATGGACGGCTATCTGTCAAGGCTACTGTAGTCACTCCTTCAGTCACACTTTTTTCCCTAGAATTCATCATAAGCCCCTAACTTGATAAAGCTTCAACATTTTCGAATGCTAATCTTTTAGCTCCTACCTTGGTGGTCATTATTTTCCATCCTGCCTACCATAGCTCTAAATTACATTAATCTAAAATTGCACAATACCAACCAAACTCTTCTAGGGAGCAGCTTGTCTATACTACATAACTCTGTTCCTGACCTCACATAACCCTGGGTGGAGATTGCAGTCCCAGGTACAAAAATACACCTGGTATACCAACCAGTACTTGGAGAAGAAAGGCACAGCAGATGGGGCTCAAGCTTTTGTTATATAGAATGTATGCGGTACAGATATATTGACTAGAGATGGAAGAATTTCACAAGCCCTACTGTGTATCTAGCTATGGCCCACAATGTTATAAATAATCTGCAAGAGACCACTGTCCTAGCAAGCTGCTTCTGTTTTGCAGTCAGTCTTCATAATTAACAGAAGTATATATGTTCTCCTGTTTTATAATAAATCAGAGGGCTGTAAAAAATAGAAGATTTGTGGCAGATTTAAATAATGATAACAATCATTTTTACTATCTCTTGCAATTTCAAGGTGTGCTTCAGTACTCATGCTTTCTGTCAGATAGAAAGGTTATATAAGCTTGTACGTTGTCTTGTGGTTTAGGAAGAACTGAATGAAAGGGCCAGGAAGGGCCTGAATTAGTCATTGTAGACCCAGGAGCGAGAGAGAAAGAAGAGGCCAACAGAAAAAGTGAGACTTCATTGACACTCTGAAGGCACCTCAATACGAACCTAGCTGTCACCCAGAAATCTCTCTGGCCTCAAGCAGTCCATGACTCTGTCATGGTCGCACAAGGACACTGTCCGCTTCCCCAGTGCTATTCTGCCCTCAACACACATTGTTTAGTATATTTTTAGTCAGACAGCTAAACCCACATTCACCCCATGCCTCTCAGAAGAATACAACGAGATGGAAACCAGTGATAAAGAATATTAGTCAGCATAGTTTGTGAAATATGTCAAAATGCCTTCTCCCTCAATATACGTGGCACACACCTATTAAGAAACCTTAGATCATACCAACTGTACCTGTTCTACAGCATGTTGCTGTAAAATTCTTACCTCCCCCAGCCCATGTACAGTAGGTGAAACAGATAGGCATAAAACTGACTGGCCCTGATAGCCACCAATGGAGTCTATACATCTCTGAGCTACTAGATTCTTTTAGACCCAGTTCGCTTCAGATACGTGGGATTACAACTCCCATCAGTCACAACCAGCACACTAATGGCCAGGGATGATAGGGGTTATCTTTTAAGATATCTGGATTGCACCATGGGGAATCCAGATATGCCTTGGATGTTTTTCTGGTTTCTTGAGTACAG